GTTGAGAGTTTTAAATACGAGGAGCACCCTTCACGTTTAGCTTTAAAAATTTCCTATTTCGTAAGTAGTATTTATTGTTAGTGTTGCGAAACACAATACGATTTGTTGCTCGGGTTCATATCGACTGTTGATAATTATACAATAGGTCTTCTGATTATTGTTTTGGATAGAAAAAGCTTGTTTTTTAATAGCTTTTTTTTCGTGATTTTTTTTTTCAGTGGCTACTGTTTTAAACTTTTTTTTGCCAGTAGCCGTTTTGGTTATTTTGTTAGGTTTTCGTTTTTCAGCACCCTTTACTACTAACAATTTGTTATTGAATATGCTGCTAAAAAATATGTATCTTTTTATTAGCTATAACTTTGTCTTAAAATGTAGAATTTTATTATAAATTTAACATATTTACGTACATGAAAGTATAAGTGCTTTCATGCATTATATATAAAGTGAAAATAAAGTGAAAATAAAATGAAAAAAAATAAAATATTTAAATATTATAATGAAAATTTGAAACTCTTTTTACAAAATAATTAAATCGATAGCACGTTATAAAGTATAAACTTATTTTAAAATATGAATTAATATCCGATTTATTGTTACTTATTGTTATAATAATGATTGTTCGAATTTGGCATAAATCAAAGTTTATTCGCAATCGTTTATTTGTATTAAAAATCTTGCAGTGATGCACAATTTTTTCTATTCTTTGTGCTAACGAGTAAATGTTAAAAAAGTTGAAAAACAAATCATAATATTATAATCGAGTTTTCTTTCATTTTTCTATAAAAGATAAATTTTTAATTTTTGACTTACTCAGTCCAATTTAAATTCAATTATTTTCAACTTTATAATATCGAGTCAAAAAATAATTTGATTCAATATTCAATAAAGTATAATTATAAAGTAATATCTTGAACCTGGTTTTATATGTAATGTATTTTCTTTATACACAAAGTATAATAAAGTTTCTATTTTACCTTTATATTTAAATTATAATACTAATTTTGTTTATTAATTTATTGCAGACTTATTAATTTATAGAGAGTATTAATTATAGAAAATATACAAAGATACACTGGAGGTTTAAAAAGATAGAATATGAATCAAAAAATCAAAGAAAGCAGCTAACTATAAGAGGAAAAACTTACAGCAAAATGATGTTTCATTCAATTGCAAGTAATAAGTATTTTACTTAATCGTTCTGTTCTTTAGATTTGTTTCAAGAACAGATTATGAAATCAACAGAATTCATATATTATATTCATATATTACAAAAGGTTGAGAAATTATAGGAACAAGACTTCATATAACAATCACTTCGTTTCTTTTAATTATATTTATGTATTTATATAAATAGAATGAAAAAAATCAAATTTTTTGTGGAGATGTTAGGTTAAATTAGATTTAACTAGACTATAATTAGTTTGGGTATTGTGCGTCTTGAAAGCTTATATTAATAACTTTAGAATTTTAATTTACTATATATAAAAAAAAAGAATCATGGTAAGTTCATAAAACATGGTGGAACATTTCAGTAATAGATTTCAAAATTGCACTCTAATGGATTTGAAAAATCATATCTCCAGCGTATTTTCACTATTGATCAACTTCGATCGTTTTACTTGATGTAGTTCTCCAATTCACCGCTGTTTAAGCATAGAGTACGCTGAAGTCACTGATTTTTTACTTTGTCGGTATTTCAGAGCGCACAAAGTTCCATAAGATTCAATGGACATTTATATACCTCGTCTGTGTTTACAGTTTTTCATTGTGATAAGGATTTAAAGGAACCAATGATTTACGCAGCAACGTTTTGTATTATAATTTATTTGAGATTTAATATAATAATTAAAATAATAATGCGATAATTATTAATATTGGTAGCAGTTTACTAATTGTCTAAGAAAGCGATGGTATACACGGTACATCATTTACATAAATTAACATAAATTAAAATGACAGTCGACTTTCTTTATATAATCCCTTTGTAGTGTCTGTATCAGTTTTGTAGCATTGTTCACGTGTATATTGGAACATTTCTAAATCGTTTTACGACAAATTCATCATCGATTTGCTCACATTATTCTGACTTTTTTTTTC